CGACGAGGGCATCGGACGCCCTGGCGACCAAATAGAGGATGAGCGACGACCGCATCGCGGCGTCGGCGCCCTTGAACGGCGGCCGCGGCGACGAGAGTGTCGTCAAGGCTTGAATCACCTCGGCGCCAGACCGTGCATCATCGAGTAAACGTCGACTTCGCCTCGACACGGTCGGGCTGATGGCGACTCGCAGCGCTTGATCTCACCGCCTTGCGCAAAGCGTCGATCGCTTCCCAGCCCGTCGTCTCGTCCTCGAGCGCTAAGCACACCGCAGCGCCACTCCGCAACACGTCCGGCGCGGCCTCGTCATTTGCGCCATAAAGAGCAAAAGGCAAAGCCTTGTGGTAAAAAAATGTATCGCGGCCGCGGCGGCCAGGGCGGCGGTCGCGGCGGCAAAGGCGGTGGCTACGGCAAGGGCCGCGGCGGCGGCGGCAAAGGCGGCGGCGGCAAGGGCGGCGGCGGCAAGGGCGGCAAGGGCGGCGGCGGCTACAACTGGCGCCAGCACGTCGAGCCGTCGACGGACCCGGACATCGTGAACCCGTGCCGGGCGCGCGTCGCCGCCTTCCTCGCGAGCGGCGCGCCGCGCCTCGAGATGGCCCAGCGCCTGCGCAACGTCGAGAACAACACGATGCGCGCGGTCGCGCAGGACATGGGCGTCGGCTGGGTCCGGGGCCCGAACAAGGGCGACGCCTACGCGCTCGTGCGCGTCGACGCGTCCCTCGACAGCGGCGCGCAGATCACGACCATCGCCCAGCTCGTGCGCAGCGAGTGCGAGCGCGGCGGCGGGAAATGCGCGCGGAAGCGCGTCTGGGAGCGCATGTCGAGCGAGCTCCAGGCCTTCAGCCAGACGTCGCTCAAGTGCCGCATGCTCCGGCGCCTCGAGGAGCAGCCCGCGGCCCGCGCGGCCCTGGACGACGTGCGCTGCCGGGCGACGCGCAAGGGCTTTTGCCTGGAGGGCTTCGAGGACGAGGAGGACGCGGTCTACGCGTCCTTGGACGGCGCGCTGCTCAAGCGCGCGCGCGGAGCCC